ATTATTATTATTATTATTATTATTATTATTTTATCATTTCATTATCATTATTTATCATTATCATTATCATATCATTATTATTATCATTATCATTATATTATTATATTATTATTATTATTATTATTATTATTATTATTATTATTTTATTTATTTATTGTTATTATTTATTGTCGTGACTGTAAATAGTAATTATTGTTATTTAGGTATTTTTATAATTATTATTGATATTGTGATTGTTAGTATTGATATTATTATAATTGTTATTACTATTAGTTGTAGTAGTAGTAGTATCTGACCACCACCACCAACACTATCTTCTTCATCGCCATCATCATCATCACCATCACCATCGACATCATCATCATCACATCCATTCACCACACCACATCCAATCCACCACTACCACCATCACCACCACACCATCACCACTACCACCATTCATCACCATCACCATCACCACTCCACCACAATCATCATCAGCATCAATCACCATCATCACCATATTCATGTTCACGTTCATCGGTGTAGCGTTCTCCGTGTCAACAACGGTGGCCGTGGCGTTGGTAGTAGTAGCAGCGGAGGAGGAGGAGGAGGAATGGCAGCCGCGGTTATGGCTTGACGATCGTTGTCATTGGCGTCGCCGTGTAACTGTCAGATGTCGATGGAACGAGAGGAGGTGTCTGATTGGGAAGGGGAGGAGGTGAGGGAGGAGGAGGGAGGAGGAGGGAAGGGGATGGAGGGGGGAGGGAAGAGGAGGGGAGGAAGGGGAGGAAGGGGGTAGGAGGGTTGGAGGAGGGAGGAGAGGAGGGAGGGAAGGAGGGGGGAGGGGGAGGGGGAGGAGAGGAGGAGATGAGAGGGTTGGAGGGGAAGAGGAGGAGGGGAGCTGGGAGGATGGAGGGGAGGGAAGGGAGGAGGGAAGGGGGGAGGGGGGAGGGGGAGGGGGAGGAGGAGGTGAGGGAAGGAAGGGTGGAGGAAGAGGAGGAGGGGAGGAAGGAGGGGAGGGCAGCTGGGACTAGGAGACAAGCAAGTTGGATGGGAAGGGAGCGGCATGTAGGCAGGAGGTAGGCATAAGCAAGGGAGGGGAGAGGGGAGGGAGGGAGGGAGAGGGAGAGGAGAGGGAGAGGGAGGGGGAGGGGGAGAGGGGGAGGGGGGAGGGAGAGGGAGGGGAGAGGGAGGGGAGAGAGGAGGGGGGAGGGGGGAGGGGGAGGGGTTGCATTCATCGGGTGCAAGAGACGCGGGATTTTTAAGGGAATCCAGGCGAAGAAAAACGGATTCTGCATCTTTTATTCCGGTGCATTAAGCATCTTAGTTGCCTCATCAGGAACGGTCTCCTGAGGTAAAAAGAGGATGGCGCGAGAGAGAGACAGACAGACAGACCAGGGTAGACACGACAGAACGAGACAGATTATAGGGTAGAGCAGACAGACAGAGACAGACAGACCAGACATACAGGGTAGACAGACAGAAGAGACAGATAGGGGTAGAGGACAGACAGACAGACCAAGACATAGAGAGACAGATAGAGCAGTAGAGAGGACAGACAGACAGACAGAGAAACAGACAGGGTAGAGAGACAGACAGACAGACAGGGGTAGAGAGACAGACAGACACAGACACAGACAAGAGATTGGTTCGATGGGTCGTGTTGTTTTCCTCCTTTGATCGTCCTTTGACACTCCTTGTTGGCGACGCCGTGACGAATAGCGGAGACGAATGGGGGGGGGGGGGTAGATCTGCCGCGCTTCCCTCAAAGATATCTGCCTCTCTTTGATTTGCAACCCCTTCAACGCCTCGACCGCACACCCGTTCCACCCCGCACCGCGCACGCACGCACACGCACGCGCACGCCAAACGCAAACGCACGCACTCCACGCACGGCACGCAAACGCACACCACGCAAAACGCACCACACGTCACAACGCACACGGCACGCAAAACACGCACGCACACGCACACACACACACACACACACACACACACACACACACACACACACACACACACACACACACACCACACACACACACACACACACACACACACACACACACACACATACATTCATACACCCAACATACACACATAACGGTGTTTGTGCCTTGCCGGGGGGGGGGGGTCGGGCGGGAGGTGATGCTTTCCCGTGAGTAAAGCCTTGAATCAGCGGGGCGCCCTCACGCAAAAGCATCGAACCGCGTATTATTAGTAAATATTTGTTCCCGGCCGTCAGCTGATCCTCCTATGTTGCACTGCCGCCCACTTCGGCCGCCCTTGCCCCCTCGTTCATGCCCCATGCCCCTCGCCCCTTGCTCCGCCCATGCCGCCCCTGCTCCTCGCCCCTGCCCCTTGCTCCTGCCCCTTGCTCCTCGCCCCCTTGCCCCTGCCCCTGGCCCTCTGCTCCACGCCCCTGCCCCTCGCGCCCGCCCATGCCGTTTAGCTGATTTCCGTCGATGTTAGTGGTCGCAGGATCTGATGTTTGAGGTCGCTGGAGATATGGCTCTGGTATCTGATTGGTTGTAATAAGCGTTTGTTTATAATTTGTGATGTGTAATTAGAGTTTCCCGCTATTCGGGTGCAGTAAGTTACGTTGGCTCGGTTTAATGTAGGGACGGAATTATTTCAGATCGATAGAGGTTTAGTCTGATTGGAAGGGTTTCATCACAAGCTTGTCAGATATTCATCCATCATCCAACCATCCACCCGTCTAACCATCTATCCATCCATCCAACATCCACCCACCACCCATCCATCCATCCATCCATCCATCCATCCATCCATCCATCCATTTCCCAATCCATCGCATCACTCACCCAATCCATCCACCAAAACATCACCCATCCATCCAACCCACCGTCTAACCATCTATCCATCCCCCATCCATCCACTCACCATCCATCTATCCCAACCATCCATCCATCAACCATCCATCCATCCAATCACCCATCCAACCACTCACCCATCCATCCAACCACCCGTCTAACCATCTATCCATCCATCCATCCATTCCACTCACCATTCCATCTATCCAACCACCCGCCCTAACCACTATCCATTCCATTCTCCACCCCCCCAACCCATCCACATCCCTTCCCGCCATCCATCCATCCCCACCCACCCATCCACATCCCTTCCCGCCATCATCATCCAACCACCCAATCCATCCATCCATCCACCCAATCACCCATCCACCCACCCTGTATCATCTTGCACCTCGAGCGATCAACAGGTCCAGAAAGACTGTGCGGCGGTGTTTTGGAGTCCTGGGTTGTTTTTGAGTCTGAAAGTGACGAATTTCGAAAATATTTAGAAGGTTTTCATATGTCATTTTGTCAGTTTTTTTTTTTGAAGGTAGGGTTGGCAATGGATCTTTTATTATCAGAGTTTATGGATGGGAGCAGAGGGAAAAGGGGAAGGGGAAGGGATGAGGAGTGGAGGAGGAGAAGAGGGAAGAGGGGAAGAGAGAAGCTGAGAGAGGGGAAGGGAAGAAAGGAAGGGGGAGAGGTGAAAGATGAGGTGAGGTGGGGGTGAGTGAGGTGAGGGAATAGCGGAGAAAAGAGAAGAAAAGAAGAGAAGAAGGAGGAGAGGAGAGGAGGAGAGGAGAGGAGAGGAGAGAGAGGAAGAGGAGAAGAGAGGATAGGGGAACTGCGAGATAGAACAAATAGTTCTTTTGTTTCCGGTTTTTTACCTTGGAGCTGATCCGAAGACGCTCGCTCGCACCAGTGGTTTCCATGGAGACAGATCGTGACCAAGTTGATACCGGCCGTTCCTCTCCGTGGGCGTGGAGTGGGGGTGAAGAGGAGTTAGAGGGTGGGGGTGGAGGGATTCCGGGGAGGGGGAGGAAGGGAAGGAGGGTAAGAAGATGGGAAAGAAGGTGGGAGAGGGGACCAAAAAGGGAAGGGAAGGAAGAAGCAGGAGGGAAGAAAGGAAGAAGGAGGGAAAGGAATGGAAGGAGGAGGAGAAGGAAAGGACGGAGGGAGGGAAGGAAGGAGGAAGAAAGGAAGGGAAGGAAAGCAAGGAAGGAAGGAAGGAAGGAGGAGGCAGGGAGGCAAGGAAGGAAGGAAGAGGAAGGGAAGAGGAAGGAAGGAAGGAAGGAAGGAAGGAAGGAAAGAAAAGGAAGAAGAAAGAAAGAAAGAAAAGAAAGAAAAAGAAAAGAAAGAAAGAAAGAAAGAAAGAAAAGAAAGAAAGAAAGAAAGAGAAAGAAAGAAAGGAAAGAAAGAAAGGAGGGAGGAAAGAAGGAGGGAGGAGGGAGAGAGGTCCTTATTGCATTCCTCCTGGCCTTTGGGGCGGGCACGGTTTGAATCCGCAATGGCCGCGGCGGCCGAAGAGCGAGCGAGGGAACTTTACGGTGGCAGTCGCCGCTCTCTCGTTACGCTGATTGGTGTTATCGGCTCCTAAGGGGCGAAGGGGGGGTTGAGGTGGGTGGGGGGGGTGGGTGTGTGGGGGGGGTTGAGGTTGGGTGTGGGGGGGGGGTGAGGTGGGTGTGGGGGGTTGGGTGGGTGGGTGTGGGGGGGGTTGAGGTAGGTGTGGGGGTTGAGGTGGGTGGGGTTGAGGTAGGTGTGTGGAGGGTTGAGGTAGGTGTGGTGGGGTTGAGGTGTGTGTGTGGGGGGGTTGAGGTGGTGTGCTGAGGTAGGTGTGGGGTTGTTGAGGTGTGTGTGGGGGGGGGGTTGAGGTGCGTGTGGGGGTTAGGTGAAAGGGTGGGTTTGCGGTGCGTGTGGGGGGGGAGTTAGTTTGAAGGGGTGGGTTGGGTTGTGTGTGGGCGGGTGGGTGGGAGGGAAGGGTTGAAGTGCGTGTGGGTTAGTTTGAAGGGGGTGGGTTGAGGTGGGCGGGAGGGGGAGGTTGAGATGGAGAAGGGGGTTATTGTGCGTGCGGGCGGGGGTTTTAAGTGGATGTGGGGGGGGGGGTTAGTATGGGTGGGTGGTGGATTAAAGTGGGCGTGGGAGGTAGTATGGGGTGGGGGGAGGTGAGGTGGAGAAGGGGTGTTTTGGGGTTGGGGGAAGACGGAGCGTAATGGTGGGGGAAGGTTCCTTTGGGAGAGAAGAAGGGAGGTTTGAGATTATCATAATGATAATGGCGGTCATGATGATGATTGGAGATTTTGCTAATGATTGATAAACCAGATCGATTAAGAGAGTGAGGGCAGACTGAGGCTCTCAGTGGAGAAACATTTAATGAAATACGAAAGAACGAAGGAAAAGAGTAATATATGTGCGTGGTGCGTGTGTGTGTGCGTGTGCGTGTGCGTGTGTGTGCATGTGTGTGTGTGCATGTGTGTGTGGTGATGTGTGTGTGTGTGTGTGTGTGTGTGCTGTGTGTGTGTGTGTGTGTGTGTGTGTGTGTGTGTGTGTGTGTGTGTTGTGTGTGTGTGTGTGTGTGTGTGTGTGTGTGTGTGTGTGTGTGTGTGTGTGTTGTGTGTGTGTGTGGACTGACTGACTGACTGACTGACTGACTGTTACTGTGTGTGCTTAGGGGAGGGAAAATAGAAACAGACAGACAAACAGAAGGAAAGAGAGAAAGAGAGTGAGAATGTATTGGATGTTTCCTCCGCTGACCGTGAATGGTGTGGGGGAAAAATGCCGCCCCGGGTAGTGTTTGCCAAGTCGTGGGGCGAGGGCGGGTGAGAGGCCGCCCGCCGCTGGGCCTGGTGCGGCGGAGGCTGCATGTACTCTCTCTCTCGCTCTCGCCCTTGCTGTCTTCTTCCTCTTCTCTTCTCTCTCGCGTTTTCTCTTTATCTCCTCTCTCTCTCTTGCTCACTTCGTCTCTGTCTTTCTCGTTTTTTTGTAGGTCTTTCCTTCTTCATTTTCTCTGTCTGTCTGTCTGTCTGTCTGTCTGTCTGTCTCTCTCTCTCTCTCTCTCTCTCTCTCTCTCTCTCTCTCTCTCTCTCTCTCTCTCTCTCTCTCTCTCTCTCTCTCTCTCTCTCTCTCCTCTCTCTCTCTCTCTCTCTCTCTCCTCTCTCTCTCTCTCTCTTCTCTCTCTCTCTCTCTCTCTCTCTCTCTCTTCTCTCTCTCTCTCCTCTCTCTCTCTCTCTCTCTCTCTCTCTTCTCTCCTCCCTCTCTCTCTTTCCCTCCCTCTCTCTCTCGCTTTCCCTCCCTCCTCTCTCTCTTCCTCTCTCCCTCCTTTCCTCCTCTCTCTTCTTTCCCTCTCCCTCCTTCTCCTCTTTCCCCTCTCTCTCTCCTTTCCCTCTCTCTCTCTCTCTTTCCCTCCCTCTCTCCTTCCTCTTTCTCCCTCCTCTCTCTTCTTTCTCTCTCTTCCTCCCTCTCTCTCTTTCCTTTTCAGAGAGAGAGATAGAGAGAGAGAGAGAGAGGAGAGAGAGAGAGAGAGAGAGAGAGAGAGACGAGAGAGAGAGAGAGAGAGAGAGATGAGAAGATGAGAGAGAGAGAGGGGGGGGGGATCGGTAGTTGTGTTATTGTGCGCGCGTGTTATAGTGTGTGGGGGGGGTGCATAGATTTCGTGCGAACCTATCTGAGCGCTGAATGCTGTTCGTGCGGACCTTTCGTTATTTAACCGTGGCCTTTCGGTGGCTGTGTTCTCGAGAAAGAGTAGGAGTAGGAGTAGGAGTAGTACATGTCTCGCGCATGACAGTGTGCATGGCGAGCGACAGGCGGCGGTGGCGGTGGCGAGTAGCGGTAGTGGAACGCGGGAGTAGAGTAACGGTAATCAGATAATGTGCGGTAACAGCCACGGCAGCGCGCGTTTGTTTGTTTGTTTGTCCAGTTGTGTTTAATCTTGGTTGTTTTCCTGTGGCTTGTGCTGTCTCTTAAGTCATGTTTTTTTTGTGCAGGTCGATATTTTTTTTTATATATTGTGGTGGTTTGTGGTTTTGTTTATTTATTATATTGTATATTTTATTGTTTTTATTTATTTATTATTTGCGTGTGTTTGTTTGTTTGTTGAGATCGACCGTGTAGCATTTCTGTAATTATTTATTTATCGTAGTGAGAATTGATGGTAGTAATATTGCTATGGAAAGGAGTGATAGTAAGTATAAAAGAGAGCGAGTTTGGCGGCCAAGTGGTATTACAGGTCGTCTGTGGTCAAGGTGCGGAGATCTTTTGATTGTGAGTCAGTTTTTATATATGGATATGCTTATTTATACGCTTACGCATCCGTATATGTATACATATGCATATGCACATTCATGAGCATATACTAATGTACATTCACACATGCATATACACGTACATACATAAATACGTAAAGAAAGAACACAAATGATTTAGTGTTAGTATGTCTTTATAAGAGTGTGTTTTTTCTGTGCCTGGTATTGGTCTTGTTTTTTAACCATTACCCACGGCTGTACCCAAGCCCCTTCCGTGCATGTCACATAACGGAACCAGCGGAGTGATAGCGGCGTGGGGATGGAGCGCGCGCGCGGGCCAGCGGGTGCTTGTAACGGCGCCGAATTGGTAAGCGATCTGGTGTGAGTGGGGCAGCAGGTGTTGCCAATGCCTCACGCTGGTCAGGCTGCAGGGAAACACCTGGTGTGTGGGGGGGTATTCCGGCCATGTTAGCGATGTGGCAACAAAACTTAGAAGCATCAGCGACAAATTTCGGGTTTGGAAGGAGACGCAATGTTTTTTTGTTTTTTTATTGATAACAGACGGATGTGATAGGTCTGTACTATAACAAATCGATATTTTTACTTCAAATTATGCTGAATGGTCAAGGATGCAGACAGCGCTTTTAATTTAATCATTCTTCGCAGCGTAGCGTTTATCATAACTATTGATATTTGAAAGGTTGATGTAGTTGCTATTGGGTGATGATTTTTTTTTTATTGCCTTTGTTGTCAGTTTTGAATGAATCAGTGTTTGCTTTACCAGCTGAGGTTTCCCCATGGCAAATGATCACCATATGAGCATCAGGGCGGCAGTCGTGAAATGAATGGAGTGATATGATCAAACGCGGGATGTGCCTTTGGCGAGGGGCGCCGAGGGAGCAGCGCCCCCGCCGCAGCCGAACAGATTGGGCTTGTTGGGCGTGTGCAACAAGACCTACACATCAGTGAATGGGAACATGTGCGTGAGTTGTGAGTGAGTTGACATGGGCGAGGTGAGGATCTATAGTGGCGTCCCCTTCCTCTCTCTCCCTCTGCGGCCCGGCACACAAACACCCTCTCGCTGCTTGCCCTCTACCCCCCCTACCTCCCTGCCCCTATACCGGAAGAAATCGACTGATGGGGTTCGGTCCTTCTTCCTTTGTTCGGTGTTTCGAGTCGCGATTTTCGGATCTCTTCACGTAGAGGAGGATGTAGGTTAGGAAGGAGAGACGGGCGTGGAATAGTCGCTTTGTTTGCGTCTAATTCACCCAGACGGGCGGACACGAACCCCATGCGGGATATGGCAAGAATCTTCCTCACTCTTGTGCACACACTGTTCACCTCCTCCCCTCCCCGACCCCCGGTTCAGGATCGGATGGATATCCTCCGCTACGGAAATCCTGCTGACATTTGCATCCTGTCCCGGGAGAGTCCGAAAGGCCACGTCTTGCGAAGAGCATTGCCGTGTAAAGATGAGCAAAGAGAAACAGCGAGTGATAAAGGAATAATGCATTTGGCACCTCTGATTCAAGTTGGGCCCTTGCCAAATGTCTTCGGATAAAGAAATTTCTTTCTTTCTGACGGGCTCCGGAGGCAGTAGTATCGTGCGTGCGATGTCCACCTTGAATGGTCGCGCGAAACCGTGTGGTTATTTACTCCACATAACCTGTTGGGTGCGTAGTTGAGGAGAGAAAACGTTGTGAATGATTACAAGACCCCCAGTACCCCCGCGCCGTACGGTGTTGCCACTGCGGGCCCTCCTCTTTTCCCGGTGAGCTAGGTTGGGCGCGGCACCGGGGATCGAGAGAGAGCGCGAGAGGGGAGAGAGAGAGAGAGCGGGAGAGCGCGAGCGAGCTGGCGAGCGAGAGAGACATGGGGAGACTGTAGGTCCCGCCCCCTTGATAACGGCACCCTGCCAGTGTGAGGGAAACAGCGCGGCAGTTGTCTTCTCGGCAGTGCTCGGTGTCCTCACGCTTCCCTTCACGGCGTTCCCACTCGGATTCCCTCTCCTCCTCGTGCTTGGGGATTGGTAGCTGTCCCTCGAGCGTGCCATGAGGAAGGGCGGTGGCGGTGAGCAGACGAGGAGGCTCACTGCACACAGTCCTGAGAGGAGGAGCCCGTGGTGCAGCGGCGGCGGTGTGTGGTGGCGGTAGAGCGCTAGTGAGCTGTACCTCTGGTGGAGAAGGACGGACGCGTGGCCCGCACAGCGCTACAGATGTAGTTCGTGGGAGACCCTTCGTACTGGTACTCGCTGCTGCCTTATGCTCCCTTCCTCCGAGGGTTCAGCATTGTCCTTTCGAGCCTTGACGACCGCACAAATCCTGTAGTTCATAGTTGCGTTTACTCCTCTGCTGGAAAGCGACAGAGGGCCAGGAGATGCTGTATCCTCCCAAAGGATAGACCACTGTTGACATTCCGGAACCTCCATAGCGGGCGGAAGCGACTTCCTTCACTGTTTAGATAAAAAAAGGGCTCTTGTGACTTCTTGCAATATCGCAACTCATACGAAGCTACGTAGAAACAGCTTTTAAAGGATCATTTATCGAACCGAGGGCTTCCGCCTCCAGCACCTCCCCCTCCCCTCTCCTTCATCCCCTCCATCGTCTTCCCAGGGAAGTCGTCCGAAGTCTGCTATCGTCTCGGGCGTAAGCGGATCATCTCGGCATCGGTCCGGCGTGGAGGACGGACGTGGCCTAGAGTTCAGGATACGGCCCGTGACGGACGAGTGGATTTGCACTGCAAGAGGAAAATGAAAGGAGAGCGAGATTGCGAAAGGCCAAGTGAATCCAAAAAGCCGGAATTTTAACATGTGTCAGTAAATCCGCAGGGATTTACGAGTTGTAGGATCCTAGAAAACGGATAATCAATACTTGTGCCTAGAGGAGGCCCGCTCCCCTCCCCTACGGTGGACACTGGTTGCATTAAGTGGATTTTCCCTGAACTTAGCCAAGTGATTTGCATTTTAAAGATTACTAGGTGAGGTTTGGCGAAGGAATCTTACGTCGACGCTTTAGCAGAAAGAGCGTGAAACTCCAACACATTCGCTCTGGCCATCTTCACTCAAGGAATTATGTGTACAATCTCCAACACTGACCAGGCAACATTCTGACTGGAATGTAGTTGTAGTTGTGCTTAAAGACTGACGCTTGTGTTGTGTCATTCCTCTCCTGCTACGCCCGTATTGGTGTCAGTAAAGGAAGATTTAGAAGAGATCAGAGAAGAAATTCGGTGCGGATTACGAGTGCGTGATAGTGTGCGAAGAGTCGAGTTTCGAGTGCAAGTCAGCAGCAGCAGAGATAGGGCCCCTCCCACCGAAGGACCCCTGATACCCACCAGGGACACCGATACTCGCCATGGGTGCATCGACAGCCACTGCGAGGGGAAGCGATACTCGCCAGGGGAGCTTCTGTGCTTAGCGGGTGAAAAGGAGCACGAAGGGAAGCCCGAACAACGGCGCCCAGGAGGGGACCCTTGCCTTTCTCACTCGAGCGAGGATCAGCGCGAGAGACGGGGGGGAAAGTCCGTGCGAGTTTGTGAGGATCGTAAACAGCGTTCTGAGAGAAAGAGTGAGTGCGAGAAAGAAGAAAAAAGAATAACAAACATTTCGCAGCGGAACGCAAAGCTTGTGCGGTATGTGGTGGGATAGAGTGACGAGGGATTTTGAAGTGTGAGATATATATGTGTTTTTTTCTTCGTGTACGTCCAGTGTTGATGGTATATAATACCCGAGTTGTGTGTGTTGTGTGCCGAGGATAAAGTTCATACTTTTGTGATCTTGAGATCAGACGCGAAGAAATTCAGCTGTGAAAGTATTTACTGTGTTGGAAACAGGAAAAAAAATATTGGATTTTCGATCGACTCACCGTCATGGGAGGCAGCAGGAGAAAGCACAGGAGTGATAGCCTCCTGTTGTGAGAAGCAGCCTGCCAAAGACAGCCAAGTGCACCACCTCTTCCTATTCCTCCCACTCCCACCCCCCTCTGTCTTCTGCGGCACCAACGTGGCATGGTGTCTTTGGAGGTAAGGAAAGGCATCTCGGGGTGTTTAGCATTAATCGAAGGGTAATTGCGCGGTTTAGAAAAGCATTTGCAAATCTCGTTGACTCTTGTGGACTCCTCATGAACATTTAGCCGTTTATCTTCTTCTCTCTCTCTCTCTCTCTCTCCCTCTCTCTCTCTTCTCTCTCTTCTCTCCTCTCTCTCTCTCTCTCCTCCTCCCTCCTCCTCTTTCCCCCCTTCCCCCATTTCTCATTTCTCCCCTTCTCCTTCCTTCCCCCTTCAGCTTCCCATTCCCCTTCCCCTTCCTCCTTCCCCTTTCTTTCCTTATCTCCCTCTTCCTCTTTTCCCCTTCCCTCCCCCTTCAACTTCCCATTCCCTTCCCCTTCCCTCTTCCCTCCCCCTTCCTTCCCATTCCCTCCCCTTCCCTCCTCCCCTTCCCCTTCCCCCCCCCTTCCCTCCCCTTCCCTTCCCTCCTCCCTTCCTCCCTTCCCCTTCCCCCTTCATTTTTTCCCTCCCCCTCCCCATTCCCATATACTCTTCTCTCATTCATGAATCCGTTCACCAAATTCACCCGGTTCATGGACAGCGCGGCCTTCCCGGACCCAGTGGGCCGTTCCAGCGGGTGTGTTGCATGGGACGGCGTCGGGGAGAGTATAAGGCGCGGGTCTATCATGCAGCCCCGTTATAACTGTGTGTGGGGGGAATCCGCTATAACCTTCCTGCTCGGCACCTGATCCTCTCAGCCGCGCAGTTGCTATGATTCGTTTGTATTCGCCGTTTTTTTTTTTTAGGCTTTGGTTGTACGGCGGGTGTTCAGTGGCAGCGTTTTCGTTGTAGATACGATGGCTGTCAAAACGTGTTCTGAGTTCTTTTTTTAGAATGACGAGGACGATGGTGTGAGGTGTGGGGAACTACGGGGAAGGGGGGGGATTTGGTGGTTCGCCGGGGGGGGGGGGGTTTGTGGCGACCCTGACTGAATTCCATGGGTGGAAGGAATGGCTATGTGTAATAGGGACCGTGGGTGGAAGTGGGTTAAAAGTACGGACGGGCTCCCTCTCTCTCTCTATCTTTCTTTTCTCTCTCTTTCTCTTCTTCTCTTTCTCTCTCTCTCTCTCTCCTCTCTCTCTCTCTCTCTCTCTCTCTCCTCTCTCTCTCTCTCTCTCTCTCTTTCTCCCTCTCTCCTCCTCTCTCTCCCTCCTCCTTCTCTCTCTCCCTCCTCCTTCTCTCTCTCTCTCCTCTCTTCTTCTCCCTCCTCCTCCTTCTCTCTGTCTCTCTCTCTCTCTCTCGCTCTCTCCGGTCTTTCTCCCTGCCTCCTCTCCCATGTAAGTAGACACAAAACGCGTAAAACTGGCGAGAGGAGAGGCAGAGGACGCCCGTGCCAGCTGGCGTGGGCGGCGGGCGGGGTGGCGAAACGATCTCCGTAGTAGGGATCTGGGAACTCGCGCGTGCGTTGTGTTGCCTTGACGACT